TTTGTGATTTGAACAGATATTTGCTGTTTTCAAGGATTATTCTTCTTCCAGAAGCATGCTCGTTGCTTTCTCCAGAACTTCTGTATATATCACATTAGTCCCTTGGGGCATGAGGGTCTGTAACCCTGGTAGCCTGATTTGATCTGTTATTTCTGCCTCGTTTTAATGTGTTTCTGCTCCCAGTTACTCAATTTAGTGAATGATATAATTCACATTGTTTCTTATCTGTCACTTTCCTCAAGAGCCATTGCAGTTGGGAGCTGCTGCCATCAGGCCCAATGACCCTTTACTCTCTGTTGATAACTTAGCAGATCAGATCCTTGAGGTCCTTAACTTTTTTGGGTAATTATTCTCCAATATTTTCTTTATTGCTTTTTGTCTCCAATTATTGTTATAGTTAATTTTCTTTGCAGTAATTTTCTTCTGCTGTAGATTTTTAAGCATCATTGCACTTTTTCACTTTAGTTGGCCAGCTTTTTCATCCAAGCTAATGCTTTGTTTCTTTTGTTTCCATTTTCTCCCCTTGTTGCCCAGACTAGGTGCAGTCATGTGTATGGGTGTTACAGGAGGAGCTTACATCCTCACGCTATTTGCCGTGAGTTGTTTGTTCCATCATATCAAGTTGAAAACTATATTTTACTATTTTGCAAATTCTTTTATGCCAATGGACTTTAAACTCTGTTTTGCATACATAGAGTTTGCTTGATGATTCTTGCCTGTCTTGAATTCCAGATGAAGTATAGGCAGCGGGTTCTTGGTTTGATACTTGTTTCTCCTTTGTGCAAAGCACCCTCTTGGACCGAATGGCTGTATAATAAGGTACTGCTTTTTGAACTTTTGTCATTTATTTTTGGTTAGAGTCTTCTGTTTACACATGTTGTATCTCTAGCAGGTATTATCACATTTACTCTATTACTATGGCATGTGTGGAGTCGTGAAGGAGTTGTTGCTTAAACGGTACTTCAGCAAGGTAATCTTTGGCTTCAGTTTTTTTTCACATGTTGCTGCTGTGGTAGAATTCAATTAACTGAGTAGTTAGACTCAAAGTGATTATTGCAGGATGTCCATGGTAATGCTCAAGTACCAGAATCTGAAATAGTTCAGGCATGCCGACGAGTTAGTCCTCTGGCTCTTTCTTGCATCCTCTTAATTTTTACAACACAACCTGTTGAATGGGATTAAAAAACATTATAAGTTCTGGTTCCTCAGTTTTTGGCTTTTCTTTGATGTGTAATATATGTATTTTTTTTTTCAGCTACTGGGTGAAAGACAGAGTGCAAATGTTTGGCGGTATATTGAAGCAATTAATGGGTACGTTTGTTTTGAAACATTGTTCTTGCCAATTACGACGAGAGAAAGGTTGAGAGGGAGGGTATTATATATTGTTCATCATATGCTGTCTCTATGCATTATGGTGGTTGTGCTCTATTTCAAAGGTTTCCCAAGATGGTTGCCTTAATTTCTTGAGAATTTTGGTTTATACATGTGCTTATCATTCTAATCTGGTTAGCAGGAGGCCAGACCTTACTGATGGATTGAGGAAGCTGCATTGTCGCTCGCTAATATTTGTGGGGGAGCACTCCCAGTTCCACTCTGAAGCTCTCCACATGACATCCAAATTCGATCGAAGATATAGTGCACTAGTTGAGGTACGTAATCCGGGTCTGTCTATGTTGTGAGAAGGGGTTAAGTTTGCCTTGAGAACTTTTTTTTTTTGTTGAGAAAGGGTTTGCATTGAGACTATATATATATATATATATATGTATGTAAGTACTGAAGTAGGTAAAGTGTAATAGAGAGGATTTGGGAACCTACAGGTTCAGGCATGTGGCTCGACAGTGACAGAGGAGCAACCGCATGCCATGTTAATACCTTTAGAGTACTTTCTTATGGGATATGGCTTTTACAGACAAGCTCTTAGTGTGAGCCCGAGAAGTCCTTTGAGTCCATCTTGCATTTCCCCAGAGCTTCTCTCACCAGAAAGCATGGGTTTGAAGTTAAAACCGATCAAAACACGCATTACCATGAAAGTTTGAAATAAGATAAGAGAAGTATGTGGAGAATGCTTAGGGAATAGAGAGGTTGTAATATGTTTACGATTGATTGAAGATGATAAATTAAGTGTTGTAGATAGAAAAAGCTTTGTTAGACAGAAGCCAGATAATTTCCATTCTTTTATTCATAATCACGAATAGGTTGTTGAGGAGCGATTGAGTTATCTGTAAATCCTCTGAATAATTATGTACCAAAAAAAAAAAAAAAAAAACCAGCAAATAATACTTGTAACCAAGGATGGCTCCTGTACTCAGCTTTATCATTTTAACTTCTATGCTTGGCTTGCTTTTTAACTTCTATGAATTCTATCTTCTTTCTCCCTTAATGATAAGGAAAGATGTCTGCGATGTATTCCTTAATTTCGTAATATTTCAAGTTTATTGAGGTAAATTTCATTATAATCTGAGGAGTACTTTTTATTCATTAATTTTTTAAGAATTTAACTATTATTTTAGCCGTATAAGTGTATACCCAAACAAAATTGCTCTCTCTCTCAAATTAGATACATGTCGTCAACAATTAGAAATATAACAATGAAATTATCATCATTGTTGAAGAAGGGGTTACTGCTTGTGGGAATATATTTGATTAAAACTTACACATCAAAATATTTTATTGGCCACCAAACTTTTTATTTATAACTCACCCATCAAAATATTTTCATAAACATGAAGATTTATAATTTTGATTAAATACTAAGCAAGTAATGAATTTTCCGAGGATAACGGCCGCAGCAGAACGTGAATCGCATGAAGTACTTTATTTATAATCTAAACATCTTAAGCTTTCTATAGATGTTACATAAATTGATGAGAAGGGAAATGATGATGGCCAACAGATGTTAAGGAGGAGGAATCCTGCAACCATCTTCTTCTTCGCAGTTCTGCTGTCCGGGATCTGTGGGCTATGATTTTCAGATTGATGGTGGTGTACGGGTACGATCAAGGAGGAATTGTGGGTTTGGGCTGAGATAAGGAAAAAGGACAAAAAAACTAAGTAAGTTAATCCATCCATTTAGCATAATTTTAGATCATTTGGAAGGAAATAAATAGGAGGGTGTACGAGGGTAAAGAAAATGACACCGCGAAGATTAGGGACAGATTGTTCAATTTATTAGTATCAATAATCTTAGCGTATAACTTGTATAGGGTGGATGATTTTGGATATATAATTGATTGTCTAATAAATATGTAATATTTTTGTACATGGGTTGTACCCTCTTGATATTCTGATTATATATATATATTTTTTATTTTTTTATTTTTAAATAAATATATCGATCTCATGATTTTTGATAAAATTTTCATAAGTTACAAGTTTTTGAAGATTTAAGATTTTATGAAAATATTAACCACGAGCTCTAGTGGAGTTTTCACTTTCTCTTACCAATTTTTGGACACAAAACTTATACAACTATAATTTAGATAGTATAAATATTTTATAAACATCAAAATTGTATAATTTGGATGAAAATTAACAGAGTTAAGAATTTTTAAATATTTTAGAAAAGAAAAAAAAAAAAAAAAAAACTTAAATAAAAGTAGCAACTTTAGTATTGTGAATCTCTATTTCCTGATAGTCTTTTTAATTGCTTCCCTCTTCTAAGATTTTACATGTTTATTTTATGGGTACATAAGAATTATTGCAAATATGATGATCTGAATGTTAATTTACTATGTGTCACTTTAGAGTACTAAAAGCGATACTATTATTTTTGAAAATTTATGGAAATATAAATTTTATCATATATTACTTAATGTAATTTATTAGATTGTATAAAAAGATATATGAATCTTGAAAGTAATAGGTTTGTATTAAATTCTGAAAATGTTGTTGAACTAGTGGTACTTAGACTCGGGTTATTACATTATTAGAGATGCTTGAGATGCTTAAAATGTTTGAGCATTTTATTAAAGGGATTTTCTGAGGTAGTTTTTTTAAAAAAATTTTACTTTTTTAAATATTGTTTATTTATATTGTTTATTTACTTTCTTCTAATAATATTTTCAGAAATATTTTTAAAAAAATTATATTTTTTTAAGTTAAATCTGAAATAATAAAAAAAAAGTATTTTTACATATATACTCTTGAAGAGAAATTTGTGAGATAATTTTATAAAAATGTTGGGTTTTGAAATATTATTCATTTACTTATTTTTTTTAATAAGAATTTGATGTGGTCCCAATAAGAATAGTACATAAACTAGATAAATTCTCTTAGAGTAAGAAAGAATCCAATTTTCATTGATTACCAAAGACATACATCCACTTGATATTTGCATGCTTAAATAGAAGACAATATAACTGTAAATACACAACTGCTCCTGCTATTCAAGGCATAAACATTAATTTAGGGATAAAGGAAACCGTCTACAGATTGATGGAGATCATGGCATCATGGTAACTGTTCTTTAACTGTTTGATTGAGTCATGGGAGACAGTTGCTGTACTTGGGCTTGGGTACCCACTGCCGTTGTGATTTCCATATTTTATCATTACTCTGCCTTTTTTCGAGAACCTTGTCCTCAAGGTTTAGAGTAGGAAACTGGTCTTGTAGAGTAGATGTTGATTTCAACGTGGTCTCGTCAATAAGAAGGTAGTATCATTTGATGAGACTTTTTTCCACAAATTTAGATCCCTTTTTTACCCATCTAGTGTCAAGAACAGATTCTGGTTAGAGAATAAGGGTCCCTTTGTCCGAGGTCAGTGGTAAAGTCCCTGTGGAACAAGTGATATCTCCTATCTTCTTTAGGCGCATGGACACATGAAAGACCGGGTGAATGCAAGATTCTGGTGGTAAATTCAGCTTGTAAGCAACTGGTCCAATGCATTGAATGACTTGGAAGAGACCATAGAAGCGGCAAGCCAACTTTTGAAAGGCATGTTTGAAGACCCTCTGTTGTTAGTATGGTTGTAATTTAAGAAACACCCAATGTCCTTATTGGAACTCTATCTTGTCGCTTGGAATTAACTACTTGTTGCATACAATTGATAGCGGCTTGTAAATTTGATTTTAAGTGCTGTAGTAATTCATCTTGCTTTGTTAATTGAATGTCAACTTCATTCATAGGAGAAGTGCCAGTATGATAAAAAGGAATAGTTGGCGGTGGTCAATCATACAGAGCCTGGAATGGAGTCATTTTGATGGAAGAATGATAGGAAGTATTATTCTAGTACTCAGCCCAATGAAGTAAGGTGCTCCAACTATGTGGTTGCTGATGGCACAGACACCGCATGTATTATTCTAAACTTTGATTGATAACTTCGGATTGACCGTCAATTTGAGGATGGTAAGAGGAACTCATCTTGAGAGTGGTGCCAGATAGTTTGAAAAAGTCCCGCCAAAATGAAGGGATGGCTAATTGCTGCAAAGTGTGCGGATTTGCTGAGGCGGTCGACGACTATTAAAATAGTGCTCTTGCCATGGGATATAGGTAGCCCTTCAATGAAATCCATAGTGATATCTTCCCAAATTTGATTGGACACCGGTAATGGTTGAAGAAGGCCAGCTGCAGTGAGTGTATCTAATTTTGCCTTCTGACATGTGTCAAAAGATGAGACATAGTCGTAGATAGACTTGTGCATACATGGCCAATAAAACTATTGGGTAAGTCGTTTGAACGATCCTTGGATGTCGGAATGTCCCCCACTGGTTGAGTTATGAAATTCGTGGAGCAGTTGCTGCATTACATTATATTGAAGAGGAATAACAATTCGTTGTTTAAAATAGAACAAACCTCCCTTTTTGTTGTAGGGTTGACCCGGATTCTTAATAGCTAATTTATCCACCTTCTGCATGTAAGGATCGGTGGCGATACTTTGGCGTAGATCATCCCATAACTGAGCTCGTGGAATGGAAAAGGCTTGGAGGGTTGGATTAATTTCCCTCCAAGAAAGTGCATCGGCAGCCGAGTTTTCTTTCCCTGATTTGTACATAATCTCATAATCATACCCAAATAATTAGGAAATCCATTTATGCTATTGAGGAGTGGAAATTCGTTGTTACAGTAGATATTTTAAGCTTATTTGATCTGGTTAAATATAAAACTTGTGACCCAAAAGATATAGTCTCCATAATTTGATGGCTATAATGATTGCCAACATCTCTTTGGCGTAGGTCAACCAGGCTTGTTTAGAAACTCCCAGAGCACGACCCATATAATGTAATATCCTAAATTAATTTTAAATGTAATTTAGGATTTAATTATAAATATAATTTCTTAATTTTTTATTTTTTTAATTTTAATTTAGAGTAAAAATAAAGTAAAATTGATGGAAGATTAAATTAAAAATAATTTTGAAAAAAATTAGTGAAAATTTAGGTTCTTGGGATATTTTTGAAAGAAAAATTGAAAACCGATGTCAAAATATAATTTAAAAAAGTTTCGCCTCATAGAATGCCCAGTCCGCAGCCCCGACGAATCAGGACGCACCGCATGGCAGCGAGCGCTGACGTGGTGCCACGTGGGAGGTCAAGCGGGCGATCTGCGTGCCCGCGATCGAACGGCTCAGATCCGTTCCTGCACACACGAACAGCCCAGATTCACTCCCCCCTCAAAAGCAATTGGACGGTCAGATATAAACGCGATCGGATGGTTCATATTAGATCACGATGAACGGTCCATATTGGATCGCGATTAACGGTCTAGATTCACTCCTTATTTAATTGCGATCGGACAGTTCAAATCAAATGCGATGGAAAACTCAGACCAAAAGCGAACGGATATAAATAACCCTCATCCACACCAAACCCTAACCCTAGCCGCTAGACCCCCTCGATAGAGAAGAAGACCCAACTGCCAGGAAGGAGACCACTGCCACCTGCCGTCGCGCCGGAGCCCTTTCCGACTGCCAAAAGAGGTGAAAATTTTCTCCCTTGCTCAGAATTTAATTAACATACCCATGGCTAAATTGGAGCAAAAGACCGGTCGATTGGCCAGAAAACGTGAGCAAAGCTCGGCGGTGCCTCCGCAGAGAATTTCTCGAAATGCCTATGATGAGGCATTTCTTGATTCCGTTCTGTATAATTTTTTCACCGTTATGATCACCGTTTCCTTCTCTACAAGTTTACCGGAGCAAAACACTCAATCCTAACGTGAGCCAGAGGAGCCGTCGCACCGAAGAGCCCCCCGCCGGTGAGTTTTGATTTTTTTTTATTTTTCGACCAATTGAGACTCCTTAACATATTTTCTCGTAGGGATTGATGCGAAATCAGCTGAATAAACGACCGAAAACAGCCGACCCGAGGTGGACCGCAGCCGCGGGTGACAGCACCGTCGTGCGAAAATTCTAAAATTGGCCAAAGTGGGCCTTGAGACTGATTTTG